TTCATCCTGCCTTGGAAGGATTGGTTGAGTATAAGACGGTATAAACTATACAATATGGTACAATTCAAAGATCTCCACTCCGCAATCCGCTTCCAAATGGGAACGTAGATGAACATATATATAGAGAAAGTTGCCGCTTCTACAACCATCTTGGGCGTGCTGCTCTTGCCCCCTCACCACGACCACCCTACCGGTCTCCCCGACGACCGGTGGTCCTCCTGATCCTCCATAACCGATGGAGCAATGTCACGGTGCGATCCATGGCATCGCGGTGGATCGGACGGACGTTCGGTGGATGCTGTCACTTCTCTGTCGGTGGATGCTGTCGGTGTATGGAATCGGTGGACCAGCGGCACCATGGCGAGGGGAGAGGTGTTGGCTTGGGTGCATGGCTTTGCTGGGTTTTTGATTCAATTTGTGCACCTTTGGTGCGTGAGACTTTGCAGGCTAGATTGCTTTTGACATGTCTGCGAATTGACGCTCGGCAACCATTCCTAGAGTGCCTAGCCATGTTTTTTCCAAGCGTGTACAGACACTAACTAACAGCCTTTAGAGCCACGAGGCGTTATTGTGACGGCAATCATATGGGTTGACACCAAAGAACTGTTCACGTACCCGCGGCGTTACATGAGGCATTTCAGAGTCGCCGAATCCAATGGCAGCAATGATCCAGTCTCCTCTTCTTTGCACAAGAGATCGTGCTTTTCAAACACTTGAAAGAAAGAACATAATCAATGATATATATATATATTTTCCAACATGTTGCCAGTTGAAATGCCCTGCTAACTTGCTAAAATATCAAAAATATTGCCATCGAAATATATTTGCGCATGAGTCTCAAGCGTCGATGTCATCACAACCAATTGCACAGTAGCAAACACACAACCACTGCCATCAAAAGAAAAACAATATGAACTGCAACGAAGGGTGGCAAATGAAATCACCGCACATCTTGGGGGATTAGGGTTGGAACAAAGAAAGTTGGACAAAAGTCTCATATCACATGGTGTAGGGCATGATATACATGTATAAAATCAATTGTCAAACAATGTCAAACATGTTAAATACTGCTTCAAAATTGGAACATGTTGGAACCAGGTGCCATCCAAAAAGACATGCATACACAACTCAAACAAATCTGCAGGATTGCGCAAGGCGGCTCGAAAATCAACCTAAGCAGAAACTGAATCTCAGCATTGCTCAAAACCTATCGAGAATTTGTTCTAACGGACTCTTCTTTCACAATTTCCTTTCGCAACGCTTTCGCCGCTTGCATTTTGGCTTTTGCACGCTGCATTCTGTGCAAAAGCACTTTCGCAAGCTTTCGCGGAGGAACTGATTTCACAAGTGTTTGCCAATTTCCGGAGATTTCGCAAGCTTTTGCCTGCACCGTCGTCTAACGGGGAAATATCGCATTGACCATAGGAATTAGTTCCGACAGCATCAGCGTGGCCATCACTTCGGAGAAGCACTGTGAAGTTATTACCCGCAGAAACCTGGGTGTATGTTACACCCTGATCCAAAGGTGGAGTGTTGCACTGAAAGAAAACCTTGGCTCCGCAAGCGACTGCACACCCATCACTTCGGAGAAGCACAGAACGATTCTGACCTGCAGAAACCATGTCCCGGGATGTCGCTGGGAGCCATGAATTCAAATCACAGCAACAAAAATCCCTTGAGCCACTACCCGACCCTCATCGCTCATATCAACATGTGAGGGCGGCCTATGTAACCTGTCTATATCTCTTTCTACGAGAACTTTCACTGAAACAAAGGTGCCTCCCAACGCATCAATTGTGATTCTGTTCTTTGCTCGATGGTTCGCTTCTTTGAATTTAAGATTGACCCAGAAAAATGTTGGCCATAGAAGTTTTAGTTCGTTCACCAACCAAGATTTGATGAGTATAGGAAATTGTGAGGGAAGAGTGAACCGCGGCAAGAGATCGTTGAGATGGGCCATCCATTTGTGAACCCCCTTATCCCCAAAAGTCATGGCACGAGACCGCCCCGCACGAGATCAAGACGGCTAGGCACTCCCTCCCCAAGCCACAGGATCCTCCTCCAGCAGTCTGGTTGTGCCCAATGTTGATAGTCTCTGAGGATTTGTAGGCCCAAAGAAAGCAACCGCGCTAGGAGAACGCAAGGATTTGTCTCTGAGAGAGGGGAGACTCGCGTGGAGGGGCCACCAGATCGGCCTACATCTTCGTTCCTACTAAGACGATCAAAGACTCAAAGACTTAATGTTCATTGCTTGGTGTTGCTCATGCCAGCTAGAACGACCCCGTGGGATTTTTGCATTTTTGGTTATACTACTGTCTAATGACTTAGGCCAACGTGATGCAAGTGACATACCAATCTGGCTACCCCCAGGGCTAAGTCATGTGCCCTGACATATCGAGCAAAACACATGTCTGGGTTGGGAAACCTGGTGTCATAGGACCTGTGGACACCTCCTCGACAAAAAAAGTAAAAAAACAGCTAAACAATGCTAGATACCACTGCCTGGCACCCTGGTGACACAGTGGTGACATAGGGTGCGACTATGTGTTTTTGTGGACGCTGCTTCCTTGAATACCTCATACATATTTCTATGAATATCATGGTTGTGGCCTGATGACATAGGCCTTAAGAGGAAATGCCAATGTTGGATCAATCCTGATGACATAGGCTTTTGGACTTGGCGTGTATGTCCGACAAGTCCTAAGTTACTAGTCAGTAGTATAATAGCTACAACTCTCTCCCCTCCGAGCTCATGCGCATAGTTTCATAATATTTTCCCACGCCTGTCACGTTGCTTTGTAAGTGTGGCTTTGTAGACATAGCGCCCGGAATGCCAAAACAGGGTCAAAGCTCGTACCAGTACGGTGTCACACATCTAAGGGCAGGGTTGACCTGGGCATGCTCGCTTCAAATCGAGAGATGAGAGGGGCGAGGTCAACATGTTGGATAGATCTTAGCTTCATTGGACACAGTCCCAGTGAAATACTGTTTTTCTGCAGGTTTGTACACGGTGACGGATTAAAGGTTACAAGGGGAATGCTACCCAGACGATGTGGTCTTTCTCCTTGGGACAGGAGGTGACACACACAGACACAATCAGCCGAATCGGCGCTCCCTTGACTGAAAAAGTTAACCTGTCACCTAAGCCTAAAAAGCCTCTAGCAACGAACGAAAATCTGGAAAGAAACGAAAGAGCCCTGGAAGGAGAGAAAGCACGACCGTGCATGAAGTACTCGGTGTGAAGCGTACAAGTGACTCCTTAGCAGCACGACATGAAAAAGACCTGAGTTACTCAAAAAAGCCTCTAGCAACGAAAGAAAACCTAGAAAATGAAGAGAAACAGCAAGACAGAAAGAAAGACAACATCAAAGTGAATACTTAGCCGCATGAGTGATATCTTAGCCGCGTGACATGTCAATCTACAGAGTGATCACTTAGTCGCATGGTATGTCATTCTATGAGTTGTGGGCAGCAAGCTCTGCAGCATTTGGTCAGCAATCTCAAACAGTCAGCTACTCAGGGATGTGTCAAGCAAGACGAGTGATCACTGACAATTCCCCCTTGAGGGTCTAGGCTCAACAGGCCCTGTAGGGACCACACAACAGACCACAGTGGGACCCGGCGAAACGATCCATGCTTGCAAGAGCTCTATCATTATAAAAAACTTTCATATGGTAAGGCCAGAATCCTTGATTTAAAAAAAAGTCAAAAAAAAGTCAACTGGAAAAGTCAAAGTCAAAAAAATCAAATTGAAAAGTAAAAAAAAAATACAAAAAAAGTCAAACAAAAGTTCAAAAAACAATAAAAAGAAACAAAAATGTCCAGTCAAGCGACTCAGGAGCAAAAGAAAGCCGGCATATATATATATATATATATATGGAAAACACAGGCAAAGAGGACAACAACATTGAACTAAACTAGTAACAAGCTCATAAGTCAGCCAAGGCAAATTGCACCCTTTTTGCTTATGGCTTATGGCTTTCAGTCTATTAAAAATTCTAGAACCTTTTTTGGTTGTTCAACTTTCACCTTTTCCAGCCCCAAGCCAGCCCCAACCCCCTACCCCAGAGTCGCAGGACCCCTACCCAGCCCCAGCCACTGTCCCAGGGTCTCTTCAGCCCCAAGCCAGCCCTATCCCTGGTGGCCCTGGTAGCCACCCCAGAGTCCCAAGTACCCAGCCCTGTCCGGCCCCAGAGTCGCGAGCAGAATTGACTTTTTTTCGACTTTTTGTTGCCTCCAGTAATCCGCCAAGGCTGGGATCCGCGCTTGGTTTTCACATTTGACTTTTTTTGACTTGTTTTCGACTTTTTTTGACTTTTTTTTGCTTTTTTCCACTTTTGACTTTTTTTTGACTTTTTGTTGCCTCCAGCAATCTGCCAAGGCTAGGATCCGCACATTTGACTTTTTTTGACTTTTTTGACTTTATTTTTGACTTTTCCAATTGACTTTTTTTTGACCTTTTTTTGCCGGCCCAACCCCGCATGCCCCAGCCCGCCTGTAGCCTGCCTGAGCTCGACCTCAACCTGACCCCTCCGCCAGGAGCCAGCCGCAGCCAGCCCAAAGCCTGGCCCTGGCAGCAACCTGCCCCAAAATTTGAGCAGCAGCTGGCTTGGGGCTGAAGAGACCCTGGGACAGCGGCTGGGGCTGGGTAGGGATCCGGCTGGCTTGGGGCTGGAAAAGGTGAAAGTTGAACAACCAAAAAGGTTCTAGAATTTTTAATAGACTGAAAGCCAGCCACAAGCAAAAAAGGCTGCAATTTGCCTTGTTACAAGCGTTTCCTTGACTTGTTTACCTATGCAAAGTTTATGTTTGACTTTTTTTTGACTTTTTGTTGACTGTTGACTTTTGTTGACTTGTTTTGCCTTTTTTTGACTTTTCAATTTGACTTTTTTTGACTTTGACTTTTGGGATTGACTTTTTTTGACTTGTTTTTGATGTTTTTTTTAAAATTTTGAAAACGGGTTCTTTCCAATGAGTTTTTTTTTTATAACTCTATCAGTTTGAGAATTCCCGGAAGCTAGGGGTGCGTAGCTCCACCCTTTTGGAGGGTCGAGGCCAGGGCCCTTGCGACCGAGGCACTGCGCAGCATCGGCATCTCCAGCTTGAATCCTACCAAGTCTTGATAATCCGATACAGAGGGGGCGGGCTCGCTCCAAGAGATGTCAACCTGGATATCTGATGATTCACGGAATATACCGAAGTTCGATCTCCCTCTTTTGATCGATCTATATCCAGCTTGGATCGATCGAGTGCCCTCCAAACAAAGGCATTCGAGGTTCGGACTGAAGTCAATGTTCCACAAAGGCATTGAATCTTGGTCCAACTTAGTGACTAAGGTCAAAGGAAAGGAGTCAAGTAGAAAGGACGAAAACCAACCCTTGTGGAAGTCTCCCTCTCATGTTTCTTTCAAACCTTGAGGAATGATCCATCACATGTTCCTGTTCTTGTCGGGTTTCCGCACTTCTCGCACCACCTGGACGGTAAACCTCCTTGCCCTCGGCACCTTGCAGCAGTCATTGGAGGTACAACCTTTGGAGTGAAGCGACAGCTTAGGATTGGTGGTGCAAAGGACTGGAGCAGGAGTGAATCGACGAATGCGGGCTCCGGCTCAGTAATTACATATTGCATTCCCGCTGCTACAAATAAGTCCATTTCGTGGTAACTGGCTGTCATTTCCAAATGATCAGCCGTCAAGATATCAAGAGATATACGGAGGCACTGAGTGTTCAGTAGATGCTCCTGTACCAAAAAAAAATGGCCACTCGAGATACCATGGCAAACTATGTTGATTGCCATTGGAACATGCAACTCATGGCAAACTATGTCGACTGCCATTGGCACTGCTAAATGAGATCCAACATACCATGGCAAACCATGTTGATCGCCTATACGAGAAAAGGTTGCCTCACTGCAGCGGAACCTTATGGAAGCTCCTGCTTTGAAAACAAGTATGGCCCCCATTGAGCTATGCAAGGCCCGCTTCACAAAATATCTGTGAACCACATATGGACTGAGGGTCTGCACCAAAGAGTTTGGCAAAGGTGTCATGGAGGTGTATGAGGCCAGCTTGACGCTCGTAGAGACCTGCGATCGTAGAGACCTACCTTGACCAAATGGCATCAGATAGGGAACTATATAACCACTATCATTCCAAAGATTTCTGGAAGGATGCACATATTATGAAGAATGCACTAGAATATATGTACGGGTAAAAAAAGGTTGAACATCCCAGATTCCTGGGCCAAAACCATTCAAGACTTCATGCAAGAAGTCCGCAAGCAAGCATGGTTTCCTTGGCTTTGCAAAAACCGTTCTATAGATAATTTTGGCCAAGTTGGTCAAAAAAGTGTCCTGGTGCTGAGCATGTACGAAGTACGTGCTCTCTTTTTGTGTAGGCGGAGGTCCCGGACCACACTTTGGCCAGGGCTAAGCCATGGGGTACCCAAGCCCTATCCTCCAAGACCCTCCGGTCAAAGATCAACTGCTAACCAGCCCCAAAAGGCAGGACACGATCACAAACAGCGAAAGCCAGTGCAAGCACGAGTTCGATGATGTCCGACTGGAGGGACCCCAAGCTGGCTCCCACTAGACCTGAAATGAATTGGACTGTTCACAATATATTATATATATATGTATATTATATACGTATATATTATAGTATATTTTATATATAATATATTAATATATATAATATATTAATATATATATATATATAATATATACTTGTTCCCTTTGCCCTAATACCCAAGATGCCCTAAGCAGGGTCTGAATGGTATTTGTTGAAAAAAAATTGACCAGTATTGGTCAGGCTGGAACTCATGCCCTTTTGCGAGTTGTTTCACTTCCCAAAATATCGGAGACCGGGGTAGATACCTAACCTGACACCAACTGAATCTTCTCTCAGGGTGTTCTTGAGACGTTCTGAACGGCCAAGGAAAGATCGAAAAGCAGTCCCCGCCGTTCGTCGATTGGCCCAACCTGGTGTACCTGGTCGCAGCCTTCCTCCCTTCCGGGTGTTCCAGTGACCATAGCTGTGTGAGGGGCTGGGGCCCCGGGCCAACCAGCAAACTGGCGCTGATCCGCCCTGCAGATCCACCGGGAGCCGAAGCACCAAAGGTCCAGAGCGTCCAGAGCTGTCCGTCTCATTGCTCCGCCACACATCGACTGCAAAGGCAAGTGAAGCCCCGCGTCTCACGGAGGTGTTGCTGTCGCGAGCGCACGTCCAGCTGGAGAAATCCTTCGCGGGTGACCGGTGGCAAGCAATGTGTCAAGTGGTCAGGGGCCGCAAATGTCATTCATCAGAGTGCTAGGAACACAGAATCTGCACAAGCAAGCAAGTTCATCATATGTTTCATGTACTAACCTTGCATCTACATTCCCTTCTTCTGGGTCTCGGTGTCAGGGGATCACTGTCTGTTTAAGCATCTCTGACTATTCGCTTTTGGCGGCTGGTTCGGAATGAAGTTAGCGGCTGAACCCCCGATTTTGCGGCCTTCACCTGACTCGCTCAAAGCGGCTCCCTTTTTGTCCGACGAAGCATGTTGATCGCGAAATGTGTCCTGGCTGCGCCTGGCTGCGTCCCATGAAACCAACGAGAGTCCGATGTCACTTCGCGAAGGTCGTCGTTCGTCGTCGGTCGGAACTGCGACGCGCCAGCTGCTTGGTGGCACTTCTAAGCCTAGGTTGTTCAATACAGCAAAGAAGGGATCATCATGGATCAACCCTGGTCGCTTCACTCTCCAACAAATCATATGTTGGACGAATCCTTGGTCCCCCTTGTGGTAGCTCCGATCGTCCAACCCCAAAGGCAAGTATCAAGTACATCCCATGGCAAGACCATCCAAAATCCTCCCACCGCTCGCAGTCGGAAACGAGAGGACTCCTTCCCGCTCGTAGTTCCGACAGAGAGCTTCTCCCGGGTGGATCGTTCGAAGAGCTCGCACCAGCACTTCTCCGGTGGAGAACAGAACCCCCACAGCACAGTTGGGCTGGCAAGAATGTTGTAGAAGAGAATGAGTCCTTCGAAGGTTCTTGGTCCGCTCTATATATACATATTTTTTCAGATTCGCATATAGGCCTGTGAATGGCAGGTCAGGTGTCTTGCCTATAAACATGCCGGCATATTGATACGGTTACTACAATAAAATATGCGGATTTTAAAATAGCCGAACAGGTATTTTAGTGTACCTCCGTGAAGGATCTGCTGGGGCCGCCCAGCCATTAAAACATGCGGAAAAAACACGCGGAAAAACACTTTTCCTAAATAATAATTTCACAAAATGGCCCCTTGGCCGGCTTTGACGTGGAGGCCTTCACCGGTCCTACGTGGAGGCCTTGGCCAAGGCCTCCACGTGGGAGCGGGCAAGGCCTCCACATAGGACCGGTGAAGGCCTCCATGTGGGACCGGCCAAGGCCTCCACGTAGGACCGGTGAAGGCCTCCACGTGGGACCGGCCAGTCCCCGGTCCTGTGGAGGCCTTGGCCGGTCCCACGGAGCCCCAACGTGGACTCTCTTACATGGATCCTGCTTATGTGGACCCCCCACGTGGATCCCTCTACGCGGACTTTCTTACGTGGACCCTTCTTATGTGGACCCCCCCCTACATGGTTAGTTTCCAAAACGGCTTTGCCCAAAATGATGCACTCATCGCAATTCCGTGGGGGCCGGCTTCTAAGTCTCCTTTAAGCTCCAACCACACTCAAAGCACAGGGATGTTAAACATGAAGGCGTGTCAATTGCAAAAACTGTGAGAGGTGTCTAGCGCGGAGCCAAGGTCCCCACATAAGGCCCGGCAATCCTGCTGTTTTTTATTGTTGTGAATGATGAAGGAACTGCACATTTAAATATGCGGAGCCGCCCGTCGCCCCCAAACATACGGACAGAATAGGAATTATACACTACCTCCGGGAGGGTCAACCCTGGGCCGCCCTCCACATATTTTAATGGCGTAACCGTAGTCTATATATTTATAACTATTATAACTAATTATACAGTATCCCTTTCATTACATTATGAACTAGATCACACCACCAGCATCTTCAACGGAAGTCGGAGCATTTCGAGCCTACATGAGTGGAAAAACAGGTCATAGAGCCGACGCGGACTGCAACCGGTGCACGGTCCGATTGAACTCTTCAAACATCAACGTCACAAATTCCTCATGTCCGGTCCTGTAGATGCCAGATGCTGGCGGAACTGAGAGTTGCTGACAATTGCACTCCCTGGGACAAACCCCAGTGAAGCATCAGTCTGGACATGGTCCATGAAGCATGTCCAGGATCCCTTTGATCTCCGAGTTCCGAACGAAGTTACTGTCCACCCTCAAAATTGCAGGGTCAAAATGAAGGAGCTGAATCCCGGTCCTTTTCAATTGGATACAATTGGTGGTATTCTTTCTGGCGCCAATGTTGCAGGTGCACAAGACCCTAAGGTCATCACGTGATCCTCTGGCAATCTGTCCTTCTAAGGTGTTGTGGCACATCGTTTGCGTGTAGGCACAGGAAAGATTGCCACTCTTTGCAAGGTGTTGGTACTGGATTCGCTTCTATAACCTGGGGAAAAAGAGCGAGCTTGTTCTTCAACCTGCCCTTCCTTTCACCCAGCCAAGGGGCCACCTCGCCAAAACTGCCGTCTCAGGCGACATGGACTGGGAAGGCTGCGAGGTGCAAAGCTCTTCGAAGGCCTGGCCCAGGAGGCAAGGCCTTCCGAACATGTCCCCCGACTGCGTCGCTTTGGATTACCCGGCTGAAAACTGACATGGACCGTGAAACCATGTGAAACCACTGGTTTGTAGAGGAAAACAGTCTTTCAGGGTGCCATTCTCAGGGTCCATGTTAGCTTTCGGGATTGTATATGTTGTTGATGTGTCGGGGGGATGGGCCACAGTTTGACCAGTGCGTGTGTCAGAAACAGTTTGACCAAAACTGCACAGTTTGACACAGTTTGGTAGGGGAGAATGTCCTTGCTTCTTGGAGGGTTACTATACTTGCAGCATCTTGCTGTCAAAAAAGTGTTGAAGTCACTTCAAAAATAATGGCTGGTCCTCTACCAAAAGAGCAGCTTTGGGATATGATATGACGGACAGGAAGGGGGTGCCAAATCCACACCCATCACTCCTCCTCCACCCCACCTCCAATACCCTCATCATCCCCTTGGCCCTTGCGAAGGCTATCGCCCTTGAGCGTGCTGCCAGCACACCCCGCTGAGCCACCAGGTAGGGTGCCTCTCGAAAAAGTTCGCCCTGGGGAAAGTCCACCTGGCAGCTCATCCACTCAGCAGCTTGCGGATGACAAATGAGTGCGTTTCGTTTTAACATTGTCATGTTATTACATGGACAAATTCCCTGGCTGTAGGAACCTATTGAGGATGATCGTCCTTTAATACCGGCCGGTTATGCTGTCACCCGGAAAAAAGGCCCGATCCACACCATAGATTTTGTCCCATCCTCAAATTAAATTATAGTCTTAGACAACAGTCCTTTCAGCCCGTTCCTCTGCTGGCAGACAGATAAATAGACTTGTTGGAATACACAACTGGGCTCATCCAACGAGTTGTGTCACTCAAGGTGGCTTGTTTCATGGCAATGGTGGAACAATTGTCTGTTCACTGGGATGGTGGAACAACACAAGTAAATACCTGCCAATGCAGGTCGACCGGCCATGTTGCCTGAATAGAGCCATCAAACGCGCAAAAAACCGATTAAGGCCCGGTTGACTTTAAAGCGCTGGGTTAGTCTCCTTGTCTGGGTAGACACAACAAACATCAACAAACTCCAGCCAAACATGCGGGGTTGCCTTAGTCATCTTGAATCATAAGCAGCAGCTAAGTTGTTGCAGAAAACTGACCATCAACCCATTGGTTTGGCAGTCCAGCAGAGCTGAGAAAACGACGGTTGGACGGTGTTTGATCCGGAACTCATGAGGTCACAAAACAGCTCATAAGCTTCAACCATCATCAGTTATATAATGTTGTATCAAATTAGCACGTGATGTCCCCCATAGAACAAGTGACAAGTCAATTCCAAAAATCCCAACGATGTCTGTTCTATGTATCGATACAATGACCAAGGCTCTGAAAGTAAGGTACCACCGCCCTACTGGCAAAGCTTTAAAGGCCATTTCTATTGCACAGATCTCTAGCACTCACCAGACTCACCACAGGCGCCCGACCACCACATCTCACCTGAGCTTCCAGCGCCCGACCACATGGCGTCTGTACCACTTGGAGGCCATCAGGATGCCGCGAGGCCAGGGCATCTGGAGAGACACAGAAGTCCACCTCGAAGCCTCCGCGGCCGAGGAGAGTGCTGCACCCAAGACCTCCCGAGCTCCGCCGACTGGGAGGGGAGACTGGTCTGGGCTTGATGTTTCGTAGGTGTTTGAAGAACTTGAGGCTTGTAAGGACAAGAAAAATACTGGGAGGGGAGACAGGTCTTGAGAGACTGGTCTCGCTTGTGAACCAAGGCGCCCGGAGGCAGCCCCGCTTGGTGTTTTGAGGCGCCGCGGCGCCTCCGGTGTTTCGGGTCGAGAGTCGGATCCCCACCCAAGTCCAGCGGGATCATGCATCTGAGAAGGTCCTTGGGCATAATGTCAATGACTGGAGGCTCCATCCCTAGGCAAACTGCCCGTTCGGTCGGGGCTGGGGGTCTCCCTATTCATGTACCGTAGTCTAGTCAGTTGGGATCTGATGGAGCTGTAGAGAAGTGCATGGTTGGCTAGTGACTGGACCTCCCCTTCCGTCGACTCGTCTTTTCCAGGATTCATGCTGAGTGAGAGGATTCCAGGTTTTTCCATCCAAAAACCAAGCAACTGGAAGCCACTCGGTGGAAAGTCTTCTCACCGGCACGCAGGAGCCACTGCTTGACGTCTGGATCAAAGTTCAAAACCTGCACGTGCAAACCTTGGTTTGTCGAGCTGGGGGTGCATCAAATTCAATTGGCCAAATTCTCATAGAACAGACTTGTCCAGGACATGAATGTTGAAGACTTCTCCTGTTCTGTTGTTTCAAGTCAAAAACAAGATGGCAATTCGTTTGTTGGGGACATAAGTTTTCAGACATATTCTGCCTGTACAAGCATAAGGGGTGCACTCTGTGGCATCTGTGAGAGAAACGAGTCAAGTCTCTTTTTCCCTGCCATGTTGGTTGACAGAAATTCTGTTTACATGCTGCAAAGGATGTTATCTTCTGTATACTGCCGTTCACCGCAAGCTTGGCAAGCCTAATCCTAGACTCTATAGACATCAGAAAACCATCGTGGGCAAATCAACATCTCACCACCTGCAGGCAAACCATAAATCAAATAGTAAAATACATGAATTCAGCACCTTTGTCAGTTCCACCGGTCCCAAAAAGCAGCTCAGCGACTCTCAGTCTCGTCCTTCATGCGCACCACGCTGCCACGGAAGATCGCAGCCCCGCCGCCGTGGAGCAACAGCGTCCGTTGCCACGAGACAGCGACCGCCAGCAGGAGCGTTGGTCGAAGTGCGTCACGGTGTCGGAGCTGGGCTGGCATGGCACGGAGCCAGGATAACAGTTTAAAAGCATGAACTCCTAACCAAGACTCCTGCATCCAAGACTACTTCTACCCGAAGCATCCCGAGTTCCTCGGTTTGATTCGTTGTAAGACACTGAAGATAATTCTACGATGCACCGATGCACCTCCCTGGCTGGGGCCCCTCGCTGGATGTTGTTAGCTTCGACCCCTTCCAAACCGCTGGCGTCTTCGGTCCCTGCCTGTTGAACCAGAAAACTGTGGGATAGTTATACGTTGAAATACTTCAAAAACCCAGGGTTTTGCGAGTGGAACAGGTGGGATCCTCTTAAAATGGAAAGAAGCATAGTTTTAATCTATTTTACAGTACTGTATATCATTTTACTGCTCTGGTTTGCAACATAGCTCCGCTAGCTATCCGATGATAAAGGCAATGATCCAAGCTGAACTGCATGCCATGCGTGGTTGAAGGAAAACAAAAATCCAGCCAGTCCTCTGTAAGACGTGCGAGCCTCCAGATTACCTGACCACAAGGTGTAGTCTAAACTAATAAACCCCTTGAAAAGAAGACAAAACATGTGAAACACACCCAGTTGTCAAGTTTGATAACCTGTTGGATGGTTGTCATCATTGTCATCCATCATGCATCCTGTACGTTCACACACGTTCACCCAGGTTTGCTCGCACGTCCTTTTTGCGTCACTCGAGTCTCACCGGAGTCGACTGCGGGTGAAGCTACGTTTGAAGCGGTTCCAGCCAACGGCGGAACCCGCCCGCGGGACGGCAGGACAGGGCCGGGACAGTGCTAGTTTGAATTTCTGAGATGGACTGCATCTTGAGTTTTGATGTGGAAAAACTTTTTGGAGTTCACTTGGTGTTCACTTGCAAAAAAGAAAGGGTGATGCATTGGTTGGAGACCGATGGTTCATCTGTCTTCCCGTGCCAACTCTTGAAAAGCCTTTGGTGAGCCTAAAAATTCCGTGGGTACTTCTAAAGATGCAGGGCAAATCCAATACGTCCAGCTAATCCCACCATTTCTAGGGAACCCTGTCTGACAGCTGAAGATTGATTGGCTTTCTACCGAAGATCGGACCGAGATCGGCTCGCTCAGACCGCCGGCCGCGGATGGGAGCTGCACGTGCCTGGCACGGAGCTGCATGCAGACGAGGTCGGTCTAGTCACTAGTCAATGCTTCACAAAACATGTATGGAACATGTACCTACACTCACGCCGAAAGAAGCACCCCAACAAGTCACACTGGTCACAAAATATATTGGAAGGTCACAGGACGGTGCGAACCGCATTTTAGCCCAAATCAGATGCGCCGAAGTCCATGATTGCTCTACCACTGTTCCCTTCCGGATGGGTGTTGATGGGTGTGGCCAGACTTGCGTGGTCTGTTGAGTCTAAGCGCTTGCCGCTTGCCCTCTACAAGAACCGCAAAAGGGGACAGTGTGTAAAATAACATGTGTGTATAGTCAATTCACTAACTAATCAATTATCTACTCTAATAATTTTTAAAATAAGTAATGTGCATATGATAATCCGCCGGCCCTTGGGCGCCGGCGTGTTTGATCAATGTGGCTTGTATGTAGCTTAAGTTATGTTGACTCTATATGTAATAAGAAAAGTGTCTCTGGAGCCAGTTTTTGCCTCGTCTAACTTGACCCCCCCCCTCCCCCCCAAAAAAAACATCCCGAATGTATGTAGCTCACATATATCATAGCTAAAGTGAAAGGTTGTGTGCGCTTCCTTCTTATCGTCGTTCTTCTCTTGTCGTTGTCCATGCATTGCGCTTCTGCTTTGCATGCGTTTTTCTCAGGCTTTGCACCTGCACACACGTATCTATCGTTTTTTGCAGACTCAGACTGCTTGGAAATCCCCATGCCACACATGTCCTCATTACTCTCTTGTATCATGTCTGACGGAATGCTATGTACGTTTGCTGCTTCGCACGGTCTACTTCGCTCATTGTGTCACATGTCATATAATTTGTCTTCTTGCTTGGCAGGCTATACTTTGCATCCCCCAATTTCATCTCCCTGTTCTCTTATTGTATCATAATGCACGTCATTTCATGTAGGCTCCTCTGTTGCTCCAGCTGTGTTCTGGATGATGCTGTTACTTTTTCTGCTCTGTTGCAGTCTTTCCTCTTGACGCAAAAGGTAATCCGCATCTTGGGACCATTGGCTGAAAAGGCCGGCGGAACAACCCGCAGGGTGTAAATATATGTGTGTATACTGCCCCAACAGCTGCGCTTGGATATGTTTGTGGGTCTAATACGATCCAACCACCCCCAGTCATCGAACCGAGTGCCGGGCAGTGCCTCGCTACGCGAGACGAAGCAAGACGTGGACCTGCAATCGTTGTTGCGAAGTGGGCGAAATTGGACGATTCTGGAGCCCCAAATCTGTTAGTGACTTTGTGTGTGTGTCATTGTGTCATCTACGAGAATTTTATAGAATGAACACAGATCATTCACCGGGTGAAGAAAACGGACACCTCACGGAAGAGCTGACACCGAAACACCCGGAGCTTCGGGACGGCGAAAACACACGAAACGGGGCGGGCTCAGCGATGTCCAGCGATGTGGTGTCAACAAAACAGGATTGAAGAAAGGGATGAACATGATGAACATCTTGTGGCCAGAAATAAGGTTCTTATTATGTCATTAATGGTGTCCATATCCAAACTGGATGATATTGAATGTGATGAAGGAAGTGGGGCAACAGAGGTGTTTTGATGGCAAAATCGGTTCCAGCTGAGACCAGCTGAAGCCTGAGTTGGTAGTTGTTGTATTTTGTTGCATCTGTTTAGCCCATGTTCAGCAATGTAACACATCTCCTGATCCGCCGAACCTCGACCTTGATGCACCGCAGTGTTCCGTGGGTGTGTGTTTGAATAGAGAGACAGACACCCTGGCCTCATGGGTAGAGACTGGTAAACTACCGTAAACTGGTCTATGTCCTTCCTCCAAGAGGGTCGCAACTCCTGGGAATCCACACGTCGCAGGAACACGGAACACGCGGCCTCCATCCGGCCCTTTTCGCCCTCTCCCAACCTGGCACCATCCATCCCATGGGACTGGAAGAGGTACATCCGTAGGTAACTCACTAAGGTAACTGACTCTTGCAGTCCCATGGAGTGTCGCATCCTGAAATGGTCTTGGCTTCACTCGAAGTGCCAAAACCTCACTCCACCCGCAGTGTCGCGCAAAAAAGCCTCGCCTCGTTCGACCTCTCGCGCCTCTCGCCTCCCCGAACCCGTGAAAACGGTCCGTCCGAAGTCTCGTCGTCGCTCGTCTGGGGGTCCCGACACCACGCTGGGTGACGATGATGTCGCTGAGACCACCGACCTGAGACGCCCCGGGTCACCGCCGCCGGGACAGACGGACGGCTGCTGCGGTGTTGATGCGGTGACAGCGGAGGGTTGGACAAGGGAGGCGGGACCGGGGTTCTTCAAGCCACACGAAGTTTGCGGAGGGGATGCCTCACCGATCCTCACCGCATGGGATCGTCATGTGGCAGTCTTGGCTCGTGTTCCCCTGGTCTCAAAACAAACACAGCGGCACATGTGGCTCGGTCAGACGGTGCCAACCGGTTTTGCACCGTCAGTCGATCTGATATCGTGACTGAATCGTTCTCATCCGACATGAGTTCGGAACAAAATGAACATCCAACTTTCTGACCGTACATGGCACCTTTTTGCCACAATTACCCTACAATTATCATGTAAAATCACGTCACAATCCCTCTTTCAAAACATGCCAACCTGGTCCTCTCAAACCGAAAAAGAGAGACCTCGCTCGTTTCTGGACGCCCCCCGGCTGGAAGCTCGAATGCCACGGCATCGAACTCCTGTGGAAGACGGGGGCATCGGTGGTCGGGAGGAAGCGGTTGGAGTCCGTCTGTTCCGGCTGAGTGCTTGAGGGATCGACCGGTCGACCTGAACACCCTCCGTTGGCGCGTCCAGACGGCGAGATGTGACATGGTCCGGCGACTCACCTTGAGAAAGTGGCTGTGTTCTGATCGTTGCTCTAGAGTACTCATTGCAACTTGGTGGGGCAATCATTCAATTCTTCGATCTTTGGTTCACCTTAAGCCCATCCATCCTCCATTGCCATGCATCCGACACCATCTTGAGGAGGGGTTCATAATTGGCTAATATGAACGCGGACGGTTGTAGGAACACCAGACGGAACACAATTTCGAACCATTCACTTCAAGACCGCCTTGGAAGGCTGTGGTTAAGCGCATCCAAACTTGCGAATGCCAGCTCTTTTTAAACACATGGCAAAATATAAACGCAATGCACACCATCCATGGGTCACCCGCGGAATCCCCCCCGAAGAAGGAAAAGCAAAACGGAAGCTTCTCAGAGCTTCTGCCATGACAAAAAGAGACTCTCTGGAGCTTTGGAGAAGTCCGGAGACTTGGTCCTTCCAGGAGCCCTTCCGGTCCTTCCCATGTTGGCCTTGATTGATCCATCCTGACCGCTTCGACCGGTCCGGTCCGGGCTTTCTTCAGGCATGGGTCGGACATAGAGTCCAGTGTCAAAAAGTATGCCAGGGGGATGAGTGAAGGGTCAAGTCTAAGACATATTTCAGTGTTGTCCAAAATCATATGGATTCTTATTTTGATGAGCTACCGCATATAGCCTTGCATGATATCCGTTTTTCTAGTAGCGCTTAGCACCCCCAAAAACGTCCGTGCGGATCTCACCCGTCCCGTGTTGATGCAAAGGTGCCCAGACCAGACGAATGGGACTCGAAGAGTGACGAACACTTGGCTTACCATCGATTGACCCCATTTGATGACCCTAATGATCCTAATAGTATGTAATTGTTCCATACTATTCCATACATGGAGTGTCTGGGAAATCACCATTGTCATCCATTGTCAAGCATTCCCCCGAATCTTCCTGAAGATGTATATAAGTAGGTCCGTCTGTGAAACATCTGGTCCAATTGTGAGAGACACTTGGGACTTCTTCAGCCTCCGATACTTCCATCTTGCTCCGATACTTCCATCTCCTCCGTTGGATCCCATCCGGTCGATTCTGCGCCTAGATCCGACAAGCTCCCATTGGTGGCACTCTTGCAGTCCGAATGCTCCTGGACCACGGGTCTTCGTTCGTTCGTCTCAGCCCCGACGGTGCGGTGCGTGGGTGAGGTCGACCCTTCCGAACTTCCGGGCGTGGCAGCCACGCAGGTGAAGGCGCCGGGTGAGGGGAGGAGGGTGGCTGAAAGAACCATGGTGAGTCTGTGGCTGCCACAGGCAGCTGCATGGCCTACCAAGGCAACAGCTCTGAACCGATCACAGGCGCCCTCCAGGCAGGATGAAGATGCAAGGAGTCCAAAACGGGTTTCTGCTTCTGTCACAAAACATGCAAAGTCTGTATCTGGTCTGACCTTTCCCACCAGTTCCCACACGGGCTGAGAGTCTATAGCGAAAGAATCCAGTTCCTCAGTGTGATCCTTCACTATTTACCCCTTTGCCCTTACGCACCTCCAAACTACCATTGTCAGCCCGCCTCACAAATTAGGAAGATCATGTCTGATACCGTACGACTTGTGGGTTGCTCTGTGAAATTGCAATTCGGGTCTTTGAAATCATCTTAAATCACCGCCCCTCCGCCTCCTTACTTCGGCGAAGCCTTTCACTTTCGTCCCAAAAGCGGCTCATTCGCTTGGGGTACCTTCGCTTTGGTCCTTCTCCTGGCACCATGGCACCCCACCACTCCGCCCCGGACTCGGCCCGCGGCCCGCGCGAGCTCGGCGAACTTGGCGCTCACCCGCTTCGTGGCGGTCGCTTCTGGCGCGGCCGGCGCTGGACGCGAGCGGCTCGGGAACAACAGCCAGCGGAGAAGTGGAAAAAGGCCCGTTCTCGTGGCGGAGCTCAAGGATGATGGAAGGTGTGTCGTGTTGGAAAGGATGTCAAGGGACAGGTGTTCTCTTACTTTTCCTACATTACCCTCCAACAAGGAACATGCCGAAAGATATATAAGGTGTGGATGATGATACTTAAAGCCTCGGTGCCATGCAAGTTTGGTGCTTGAGAAGCCGGACAAGAAGCGCTTGAGACATTTGTGTTTTATGGCTGAAGATGGAGAGGTGTCTTTTTTGTGGGGATGTTCAAAAACCCTCAAAGAGTAGGGGATTGAATCAGCATCTGATCAAAGCTAAGGCAATGCCTGCAGCCCCGTGGTGAATGGAACATTCCCAAAATCTGTCATCCGCTACCCGTTTGAATGTAATTAGTTCGTTGGTTGGGGGTATGCCGAGACTTGCTACATCGCTCGCGCTTCCACACGCCCCAAGACTTAAGACCTGAACAACTACCTGACTAAGGGAGCGAAGCTGTGGATCATGGGGCAATCTCTCTTACAGCTCCCATGGAAAGTGCCGGATGGTGTTGATGACACCCTTCACTTCGATCCTCCCAGAAGACCAACCAACAGAGGTGAAGTGACCGGAAAAAGGACCCGAGCTACCTGGGGTACCCATCTGGGATAGTCTAGTTCGGGTTCTGACCCACCGGAAAAGAAACCAGCTGACCACCCCATCCGATGTCCATCCCATCCACCATCGGTCCTGGGCCCTTGTGGTACTCTTCAAGCAGCACCTGCCGAGCCCCGCGCAGGTCGTGCCGAGCCATGCTCCGCTCCGCTCCGACGCGGAGCCCGTGCGCGCGGTGCGCGGCTTGGCGGCTCTTCGCGGCCATCTGGCCCAAAGAAGCCTCTTTGTCCGTCAAGTCCAATGAAAAGGACGATACAAAAACAAAAAGAACGACCCAATCCCAACAGGACCCCCAAGATCCCGCCTAGGCCTTGTTTTGGGCGACCTCGTAGCAATTGGAGGACCCCAACCCCTTCGACTTCAGGCTCTGCTCCCCTTTCGCTTGCTTCGCGAAGGCGCCTCCATGAGCTTGAGAAGTTGCGCCTCTCCGTCGGCCTGGCATCCCGAACTCCCGCGGCGCGGAGTTCGGCCGACGGACGTGACTGACTTGAGGTGTCCTTGACTGAAGATCTTCGAGGTCTTCCTTTCATAACTCCGACGGCAAACATATTATGGTTGAAAGTATCCCAATAATTCCCAAGATGGATTCCCAATGCAACCCTTCAAACGTCCTTTTTCCTACTCCATTTCCATGGACTTGGGCCTAGTTCAACCCATTTGAGGGTCAACCATGCTCCAGCCGTACTCTGCCCATCCCCACCTGCGTCCGGTCGGCTGGCGCTGCTCGCCTCGCCTGACCGTGTCCCGACGCGACCGCCGGTGATCCTGGTGATCCCATGAATGAAGCAAGTGAGTAAGGGCTGGATGACACATGTGCCATGACTTAGGATGTGGAATGACATGGACCCCCCAAAACATGGATGCAATAGCCCATCAATAGCCCATAGCCTACAGATGCACGGAGGCAAGGAGCTGGGTTAGATACCTTTTGCTAGCTGGTTTGGTACAAGTGCAACTCAGGGATGTGGCCTTTCTCGGTGTACATGATATTATAGCCCAGCACGTTGCAGCTCTTTGCATTACTCTTGCTTCCGTCACATTGTCCATAGGCCCACACATCAGTCGACATCATGTTATAGCGATATCCTATGGTGATCTGAACATGTTTCACCATGCTTCATCTCTATGATGAGAACACGCTTTACTTATGGTTCATCATGGTTCATCTATCTTACCGCGTGAGCCGTGTCGCCTGCGGATCGGAGGGCGCCACACCCGTGGCAGGCTGACCTCGGTGAAGCGGATGGAGGAGCCCTCTGGAAAGGGAAGGTCTCTGGAAAGTGTTTTCAGTTCTCATTCATGAAAGAAAGGGTGGAGCGTTTTCCCGATCATGTTTGTTCTTCGTTGTTTTCTGGAAGAAATGAGGTAGGAGCGATTCGATGGGATTTGCTGAATGGAAGGAAACCCAAGGTCCCTAAGGTCCAAAGTTTGGGATGATGCCTCTTTGTCTCGCGATCAAGAAGGGCACCAAAATAGAGTGGCTAACAAGGTTGTGCCATGTCCCTGGATCAAAGGAAGCACAACCTGATGTTGAATGACAACCTGATGTTGAATGACAATCTCACAACCCGCCCAAAAATGTGGAACATATATTAAGTTACAGTACCGTACCATTTGATGAAGAGAATCACACCTCGGCTGAAGTACATGCATGTATCTTTAAGCAAGTCTTAAATGAACTGGTCTCTCTTTCCGTTCGATCCCCGGTCGTGGCTGTTCCTCACCTTTTTTACGTCACCAACTCAGACAGAAGCACCAACCTCCCCTGGGATCGGCCTTCCACCACCCTTCGGATCGGCGCCCCGGCATTTCAAAAGGATGTGAGCGATGCGAATCCTGGCCGCTTCGGCTCGGACCGGGTGCGCGTGAGCGGAGCTTGACGACGTCCGACTCGCGGGACGAAGACGTGGCGGACGCGTTCGCGTGAAGCGGGAAGAACCAGGCAACATGGCTTAGACTGGTGACACACACTGAAAAAATGCTTGGGCTGCAGGGTTTTGATTCCCACTTGAAGGTTTGTGTAACAAGATTATGACCGCGACTCCATAAATTTCCTATAATAGAAAAACAAACACAAAATCACGCAAACTGCAAAACACTTCCTCTAGTTCCTCAGAGGTCGTTTTGCTTCATACGAGTACAACCGCTTGCGGGCACTCACAAATCGTCCAAAGTATCATTCTGCCCATGCAGATACATGCAGTATATATGGCGGTTTGAAACTCATCTTGCTTCTATATTGAAATGTCTCCAAATTCTAGCACCCCAGCCCCACAGCTTCGGCGGTCGCCAGTCCTCGAGGGCGGCTTCGCCGAAGGCATGCATCTCCTGAGGCCAGCCATGCGAGTCATTGAAGCACAGTACTTGTACGACTGGAAAGTAGTCAATTAGGCAGAAAGGACAACATCAACTGAACCAGAAGCTGAATCTCAACCAGAAGAACTGAAGAACGAGGCCAAGTAACCAGAACTCAGAAGTGGAAGAAGCAGCAGAATCAGAAGAAGAAGAAGAAGTAATGGTCACGCAATATACTCAAAATTATTACCGTCATTATCAATGAAGAAAACCTCAAAACAAGGTAAAACACCAAAACAACAAATCCCACTGATCCCAAAAAGAACTGAAAAGCTTGGAAACCCTCATCTTTACCTCCAAGCTCCAACAAAACCCATGTTCCGCGCGGCTTCGATGGGCGCGGTGGGTTTCTCGGGCGCCGCTCCCATCGGCCGTCTTCAGCTTCTTCGTGGCCGCCTGACGTGCCACGCCGTGCGGTTCGCACGCCTTTGTGGAAGGAACCATCTCTTGAAGTCCCAAAGGATGGGAAGATACTTGGAAGATCATAGAAACAATCCAACCCCTTGAAACCCTTCAGGGTTTCAAACCGAACAGCTTTGTTGTTCTCCGTGTTCTTCGGTCGACCAAAGGAAACGACGGGAAGACCAGATGAGATGTCTCCAGGCATAGACTCCGGTGACAAGGGGTGACAACTACTAACCTTCAAACCTGAAAATCAGCCAACGTAGACTCTTGATTTGAACCCCCCAAGCACTATACACAGGCGCTGAGGGTTGACATTGACATGGTTTTACCCTATAGGGAGAATCACCTTGGTCAGAACGTTGGGCAGTCACCGATGCTCTGTTGGTCAAGTTCTCGCTCGCGGCCGGACAACCAACGTCCCCAGAGGTCTGCAGGGCGGATCGTTTCGCTGACAGCGACACCTTCTCCTCGGTGACGTAGTCGTCGCTAATGTCAATGTAGGCGGCTAAAGCCTGCAGTCTGAGCTGGTCCAAAAGAAAGCATATTATATGCCCAAATGAGGTGGAGGAGAGGTTCACACCCTAGAGTTTCCATGCAGTTGAAGAGTTCGAACGAAACCTGGGATGTGCCGCACCTCGATGTCGTGCTCACAAGATGTGCATAAGTCAGATCCCATCGGAATCGAGAATTGAACAAAGGGCTCCACCGGCTCGAATGGAGTTTACATGAGTGTACCTTATACTTATACCTCATAAACTGTCCAGGACTCCCAATTGCAACATGAAAGCACCATGAAACATGGCAACATGTATGGTACCGTGGTCCCCTGACAGGAAGCCAACACACTGTATGGTCTCCTGAAAACCTGTAAATAAGTTCTCAGGAAGCCAACACATCTCATCTTCCCATCATCCCATCTCTTCCCCTTCTGCGACTCTTTCCATTGGAGGGCTTCGCAGTTGCCCACTGAGTCTTGTACGCCCACCGCTTTGGCCTGGCCCGCGGAAGACGAGGTTCGCAGCAGAGTCTAAAGCCGCGGAAGACAAGGTGCTGATGGACATTGAGGTTGAAACAGGTTGAAACAAACCAATAGCAACCTGTTTGGTGATAGGACAGGTGTTTGGTGAAGTGATCTACAAAACTTGTCCTATCACTTCACCAAACATTAGCCTGCAGGTTCACAGATTCTATCGCTCGTGGCGTGGCGTTAGTGGCACAAAGTATTCACCGATGGGTCAAATCTTCCGAAAAGGCTGTCGACATTCCAGAGGAATCCAAAGGCTTCAGAAAAACGTCATGCCTTCCATCCACTCTTTCTCCAAGAACGTTCTTGGGGTCAACTTGTCATCGAGTCATCAGTCACCACACACCCCCATCCCCTGGAGCCAGGCAGTCAAAGCACTGCTAACCCGACCTCCTTCATCACTTCATTCCCACCAACACCCGGACCTGCAAACGCCTCACTCGTTCCTCCCCCCTTTCCCCCCCCCCCCCGCGGTCGAGTTCCACTCGAACAAAGCACCTGTTCCGACGGCGTCTCCTTCTTTTTGTTGGCCGCCATGGCACCATGGGCTATTCCTGGGACGAGCCGCTCCGCGCGGGGCGGATCCAAAAGGGGCTGAGGGTCAGAGGAGGGGCTGAAAGAGCTCTCTCCTGCGGATCCAGGGTCCCCCAGATTCATCGGATGAGTGACTTCTCTGTGACTGGTCCTCTCTCAGCTAGCTGTAAAAACCGCCGTTCATTTGCAAGGGACTGAACTGGATGAGGGTCTTTCAAACATGTCCAAGGCAAATTGGGTCCAACGACGGGCTATGGATCTCCAAGTGTTCTGCACTTTTTCGGAGAGCCCGCCACCAACAAGCGGTGTAAAGGACCCAGCTACGCCACCCCCTAGCAACTGACTATCACGAACAAAGGCTGTCTGATGTCTGCTCAAAGGCTACACTTTTATAGTCGAAACCAATGCAAGAAACAAACACAGCTTTCCAACAAAAACCACTATCGGTATTTTGTACCCTGACAACCTTTCCAAAGGTTGGGACAGTTGACGAACACCGCTCTCCCGACCAGATTGAGAGGCCTCCGAGACGCCTCCGAGAACCACCCTGCCCTGGGCGTCCCAACGTAGGCAGGCAGCCTTCGGCTTGCCTGGCCCGGGAGGAGTGTTTTCGAGGGATGCTCGATTTGATGCATGGACCTGACATCCATGAATGACAGCGGGACAGCACATCACCATAGCCGGAATGCTGGAACGTAGCAGATGGGGCAAAGATTGAAGAAACACCAAGAGCTGGAACGTGCTGAGAAGTGATCCCTCGACTCGCCCCTGGTGGATCTGCAACTGAGAAGAACGATGCGGCGGACACGTTTTTTCATACAACTTCTCATTGAATCAACAAAGGCAATCTAGACTGGTGTAACATGGTGTCACCACTATACCACACACACACACACACACTTGGTGGTTTGGGGGGGCGTTGCATGCACGTAAATCCAACCGGCTCCACACATACACACACGACCAAAAAACAAAAAGAACGCCTTCTACCATCGTATACCCGATAAACCCCAATGCACACCTTCAGACTCAGGGAGGGTCCATGGGGGTCCCAATGTCCTCAGATTCACATCCCATCCGGTCCTGTCTGACCAGTTGAAGGTCGCCTTTTTCGGGCTCCCCAAGGTCGTGGTTTCGGTTGCCCTGCTAAGAATGAAGCAGTGGTTTGAGTAGATGGCGCCATCCCCAAAAGGTGGTTTATGTGGATCCCCATCAAAAGGACATCTTTGGGTTTGAGATGGTTTGTGCCATCTACTCTGAAACCACTGTAAACAAAGCTCACTTTGCCAAAACTCCTCCTCCAGCCCCCACTTTCACTGCGGTCTTTGCCCACTGCACACTCGAAGATTGGGACACAATCAGTAAGACCACTTGATGAAAGACTGAATCACGACTATGAGTGTTCTCATGTATTTGTATGTACAGTATTTGTCGGCATCTGTGTCAGTGCCAAAAATATGTTCAGCACAATATCTAGGTATATATATATAAGGGCAAGAAGCTAGTCCTCCCCCGATCCTCGCCTTCATCAAGAGGTTTTCAAGACCCAGACAATGCCTTTACCGCGAATTATCCCCTTTCAGCCAGGCGTCAATAACGCATTCGGCATTGAAAGAGTTTCTGGGGCAGTGCTTCCAGGCAGCTCTTGGCTTCTCAAAGGACCCAAATCAGCCCTGCTGCATTCGTTGATTGATTTCATGTGCTTCAAAAAAGGACGCCATACAACACAGAATCTCAACTGGAGCAACAAAAAGGTTGCAAGTCGCCCTTTCTCTTCATCGAAGACTACTCTACATTCGACCTACGTAAGATGTTTTCATAGGTAGGCTGCCGGGTCAGAAGCCGGGGCCGCGTCGCTTGGGAGCATGGGAAGCGTTGCCGAAAGTTCCATCCAGATCATCTGGTCGGCCGAAGAGAACTCTCACAGCAAGAATTCTGCGGATCAAAAGAGGTTCACCAAGGTATCATACAAGGCGAAGAATAGACATGCAACAGGTGCATAGTAGCCAGCACGCTCAAGTCCACCAACAAAGAAGCCTTCAAAGCCCTTGGTGGTCCAAATCTTTGAGGCCGCGCCCTTGACGAGGTCAAGAACACTGCTGTCCTCCTGCTACAAAACCAGCGCCAACAACTTCGGCTAGGGAACTGTGCAAAATCGCAAATGGTCACAGATTGGTCAAACTCGGGAACGAATCACCTGCAGGTCTATATACCCACCAAAACATACAAAAACCAAACACCAACAACACAGACACTACGCGACAAGCTCCGAAAGCACCACATCCTTGGCGCCCTCCACTTCCGTCATCACCACCGTGGAGACGTTGTCCACGGGGACCGTGAGGGCACCCGCAAAGAGCCCGGCCAAGAAGCCCCAGACCAAGCGCTGCGCGAACAAACTGAAACCCAAGGGCTCCAGGTACGCCGGAGTGAACTCCTGCAGCGAAGGACGGCGAAAAAAGATGAAGAAGCAGAAGTAGAAGTAGTAGTAGAAGAAGTAGTAGTAGTAGCAGTAGTAGGTAGTAGGAGGAGGAGGAGAAGAAGAAGGAACAAACATGCGTCTACACAAAAATGTTCGCCCCCCCCCCCACATGCAAAAATTAAACATCTCCCCCAGCGAAGCACTGCACCAGTGCAGCAGTTTCGCGGTACACCGCACCTTAAAGAATTCGAAAAAGACCAGCTGCAGAGTGCCGTAGGGCACATCCCGCACCAGGATCGCAGCCCTCAGTGGTTGGAACACGAAAACCGACACCTGGCGTGGGCTGCCTACGCCGCTGCCTACTTCCATGATGGAAGAATGATAGAGAAAACAACCAAACAAAGGAATTGTTCAGTGCATTGATTAAAGAATGTGGTTCTTTGCTGGGCAAAGTTGAAAGAGACATGAAACAACCCCATGATTCGCACTTTAAAGAATAAGGACAAGGACCTGGCGCTTCCTTTCTGAAAGGCCTTTCTAGTGAGTGACCACCACAATGTTCAATCTGGATTTCAGCATTGCGTAACCACTGTATTGTATTGGAGACGTTGGTCCCATCGGTGAAAACCTCAGACTTCGATGCTTCCCAGGTCTGCCGAGTGTCCGCAAAACATAGTTCGAATGCTCGAACATGAAAAGGACACCTTGCAATTGATGTGTGTCCTACTGATTTGAGCAAAGAACAAAATCTCTTGTAATTATACAAGAATCATGAAGAATCTGGTCCAGAAGAAGCTTTCCTATAAGAGCTGTGGAATCTTCACATTCTATTTTCTTGGAATCCAGAAGCTTCCACTCTCCGAGGCGTACCTCCTTCTTCCCTCTTTCAACCCCCTCTCCCCCACTCTCCGTCCCCTCGCGTCACGCTCCCCGTCCACTCTCCGTCTCCGAGGCACCAAGAGGCGAAGTAAAACTGCGAGGCGCCAGGTCTTGAAAAGACCACCTCCTCGGTCGCCACCAAGTGCACCGAGTCCCACCGAGTCCACCGACGAAGTCGCCCAAACGCCGGCCCACCGCGTTGCGGGGCCTGATGAGAAGCTGCTGAAGCTGCTGAACCCGCATATGCGGGGACGGGGAGAAATGCATGTTCCTGCGACTAAGGACTCCGTCAGGAAAAAGCACAAGGTTGTGATCTCGGGGTACACCACTCATTTCGTGAAACAAAAAAGAAGCAAGCTATCGAGCGAAAGTGGCCAAAGAAGGCCAAAGAATGGTGCCACTCGTGTGGGGGGACCGGGGAGCAGGAGACACTTGTGTTTTCAGTCTGCGTTTACCCAGATCACTGGAGTGGAACCTCAATGATCTTCCCATCTGTGATCCCTAGCAGTTGGTGAGTTGATCTTCCATCATGTCCACAAAGCATTGCCCAAATGATGAAGGATCTGTAATTAGAGTCTAGGGAACCCCCATATTATATATATAATCACTACAAGAAACAATCCTTTAAAAATGTCTCAGAACACTTTTTGATTGGTTTGGACCTCCTCCTCTCCTCCTGCCACCTGAAAACCCGTCGGACCACGTCCCTCTCCGGGCGTCAAAGGCTTCCGAGAAGTTCTGCGCCCGGCCAGACTGCACCTGCTTGTTCATGAGCTCCTCAGACCACCCACCGCCCATCCCAGACCTGCTTGCCGGGACTCCCCACAGGGTTCAAAGAATATGGTCTATATCCCTCAGTGACTGGATGTTGCCTTGTGGCTTGCAGCTGCTGTTGGGTTGGTTCAAGCAAGATGTTGGAACTGCATGGGATTGGAGGAGGAGATGCTGAACGGATGTTTGACACCATACGGTCCGTGTCCATCCAAGAGTGGCTTCACACCCCACCTTGTATACTTGCACTCTCTCTCTCTCTCTCCCTCTCTCCCTCCCTTGTAATTCTCTGGCATGCGAAAAACTGAAAAAGAAAATGTCTAATGATTAAAATGTCGACTGTTGATGAATCTCACCCCCTCAGCCCCATCCAGTCTGGGGCTTTAGAACAACAGTCAACCCCAAACACTCCATGGGACTGACATGTGTTGCCGGCATTATCCTACGTTGGTTGAAAAGGGGTCAATGATTCTTCAATCTATCTGGGTTTGTATTTGCTTGACGTTCCCGGGCCGGGATGTTTGACACGTCAAAAGAAAACGGACAAAGCAAACTAAACCCATCTCAGTTTTTGTAAAACGGCGTCTGGCAGCCTCCCCCTTCCGCCGAGCCGCAAAGGGCACGCGCACCGTGGAGCCCACGGCATCCGCGATGGCCCCCGCTGGGACCATGGCCGCGAAGCGCAGAAGCGTGGCGTTGGAAAGGCTCCCGTTGAGCAGTTGGAGGACCCAGTTGAAAATTGCACGTTTAAGGAAATTGAAAATGGCCAGCAACATCGCCTCGGCACCGGGGTTTGAGATAGGCTATAGGATGGTGTAGCATGCGAAAGCATGCGAAAGCCCGGACCAAATTGGGGGGGGGTTGAAAGGGTGGCACATTGGCTCAACGCGCTTGAGATGCCGAGTTATTTGGGTCTGACAGAGCACGCTTCATGATAAGATTTCCTGACTCAAGAAGAAGAGTTTTCACATGTGTCAGATCAGTCTCTGTTGAAAGAGATTTCCAGTGTCTTCCTTTGACCATGTTCCACGATTGGTGAGGATTGCTCAACTTTGCGACGCACCCATGCCCTTGCAGGTTGCATGCTTCTTTCGGACCGAATGCGACTCCCCCTTTTTTCTGCCTATTTCAAATGGGTTTGCCCATCAAAACACTCTTAAACCATGGCCCAATGTAGACGCTAGATTGACAAAAAGCCCTGCGTGTTTGATTGTAAAACCTTCATATCTATATATATATATATCATACAATGAGGAGCTTCGGTTTCATCCATCAGTCTACATTGGACGGTCTATGTCGTCCCCTCCAAGCTGCGGCGTTGGGAGCCTCGCGGCCCAGATTCAGTAGCAAACCGTCCTCGGTCCATGGAGCCGAGGACGAGGACCACGTCGGATGCCGAGGACGAGGTGGATGACTCAGACCGAGGACGAGGTGGATTCCAAAAGGTCTGTAGTCTGTAGGTGTAATCCAACTTAGGTGGATGACATGACTTAACATGTTTATAACTATTTGTGTGTTTTGTTAAGGTCTGCATGACAGGTGCATGACAGGACCTTTTCTTTTTGAGTCCATCACCCAGATCACAAGAACCAGCCCCATTTCTTCCGGAAGGATTACGTCCACATGGCAAGTCTTTTAAGCCTTCATGATCCTTCATGCATGTTTATCAACAAATTGCTTTTCCCAGTGTCTAGCCTTCCAAGACCATTTTAAACATGCTTGACCCTGTTCTTGTAGTCTCAAATCCTTCAAAGTAACACAACATCAAAGCAATGGCTGTTCAGGAATTACCCTTCAATGCAACGGCCTGGGCGCTGCCCCCGACGAACCACCGAGTTCGCTTCGTTTCAGCCAACAACCCGAGCGTCGTAGAGCGCGAGAAAGCCGCCCTCCTCGGCCTTCGGAAAGGCGGAGCGCCCCGTTTGAAGCCTCACCTGCGCCGGGTCAGGCAACGCCGGTGCCAAGTGGGTGGCTTCGAGGTGAGAAGGTCCATCCAAAGTTGCGCACCCGTTTAGCAGGATGGGTGTGAAATGCACTGTTCATCCCCACTGCATTGTAAAAACTGGACTGGCATGGAATTGTGCTATTCTGCGGGTCACCATGACGACGATTCCCTGGAAGGACTCATTCAGATCTTCAGAAATCCCCTTGTGCGCAGGTCTCACAAAAGGCCCATGACTTCCAGCACATCTCAGGATGAAACATACACTCCGACTTACTCACATGGAAGTGGTGCATCCCTGTCTGGTCGTCACCCCTTCCCAGGCTGAACAAATACATTATATAACCATACTCTCCCTATCTCTCCCTCCATTTCCATAGTTACAGATAGGTATCGAGCGTTCCGAACCTCAGGACCTCCGGGGCCCAACCCAGGCGGACCTCCGACTCCGACACCGCGCCCACCGCGGCCTTGGAGGAGTCGATGGGATAGACCACGCTGCAGGCCACGCAGGCCGCCACGAAGCCGCAGAGCGCATCCTTCGAGAGCTGATCTGAGGAGCTGCTGGTGCGCGCGAGCCAGGCATAGTTGAAGGTCTTCACCTGCTCCCCCTCCGACTTCGCGGAAATACATACATGGAAGAGACCTGACATGAATACCTGAAAAAAGTCCTGAACAAATGGACCTGACGTCGGAAGACCTTTTTCCGAACACAACCACAGGTTCCAGGATGTTCCATGTGAGTCTTCCAGGGTGTAGCTGACGGCAATTTTTCCCAGTCGTTCACATCCGTCCCGGTGCTTTGAAAAATGTGAAGGCAAGTGCCCGCGTGCTGCTTCCCAAATCAGCGACGGAGAAGAGGTGTCATGGGTTTGAGTCCAAAAAGACCCAAAAGGGTCATGGGCTCCATGGATGAAGTATGATGAAATGCACCTGGGAAAGCACCGTGGTGGTAGTTAAATTTGGGTTACAGCATTTCTGAGGTACGGGGAAATTGGAATCATCAGTATCTTTGAGCTAACACCCAACTATAATTGGGCGCAGGCCCAGGCCCAGGCACCTCGGAATCTTGCAATTCCTTGTTGTAGTTCAAGCTCACGATGGCAAACCTGGGTTTCTGCGCATGTCTTCCAAAGATTGAGGTCATGAGTCATGCGACGTGTCATTATAATGAAGACGGGTGATAATTAAGATACTCCATCTGCCCAAAAGGGTCAAACATCGTTCAGGGTCGGAAACTTCGATTGCCTATACTCACTCGCATTGCAGCGCAATGCAGCACAATGTACATGTCGTAGGCTTCCATATGTCCAAAACCCTGAAATCGCAACCAAATCCCAACTTCCATCATCCTTCTGCCCCCCCCATGCCTCCCACTCCACCTGAATCCATCCTCCAAGCCACTTGGGTTTCCCATCCACCCGCGCCACCCAGAGCACCCGCCCCGTTTGCCCCTTGTCGGGCCCCACGAGGATCACCACCTCATCCCGCACCAAGGGCGGCTCCAAGGCCGGTGGCTCCTGGGATTCGTCAATCGAATCAATCCAGGACGGGGATCCTGTGAAAGCGACGGGGATCCTCTTCTCGATCCCAGTGGTTGTATAACAAATTATAAGAAAAAACTGTATGTTTTTTCAGTAAACATGTTTTATAAATTGTATGTGTTCATATATTGTGAAAGTGTGCATCCATGTCGGACATGTCATGTTTGCATAAGGTTGATGGCGGCCCTTTGATCCTTTCCGGCCCAAGGGCCCTTGAGCTTGTTCGTACCGAACGCTAGGCTGCGCCACATGGAAAAGCGCCGTTGATCGCTGTGTTGTCGATTCGTGATCCCCATTTGCTTGAGGATACCCACACATTGGTTGACATTGTGTTCCCATCTCCGCTTACCATTTTACATGGTAGCGGAGCGTGTTCGCTCCAGCAGTGCCTTGTGAGGTCCCGGCCTTTCCCGGGTGTGGCGAAAGCCACAGAGTCACTCGTACCATCCAGGTACATTGAGCATTGAGCAGTGGTGCAGAGTTTACATTGATTTGTGTTGTTGTTGGTTGAACATTGATTGTTGTTTAGCATTCATGGCAATGGATTACAAAGATTCGTTGCGAGACCTCTCCTTTGACGGAAAGCCGAGTGGTTACAGAGAGTTCCGGCGAAAGCTGATTCTTGGTGTGGCGTCTTTAGAAGACAAACAACAACACCTTGCAGGTCCACGTGTCTTGAGCAAACTTTCAGGTGAAGCTTGGCAAGCGACAGAACATTTGTCGGTGGCTGACATCAGAAGCACTGATGGTTGGTTACAAGTTGTCAAGACATTGGACAATCACTATAGGTTTTTGCCAGAGACTGAGCTCCACGAGGCGATTGATGAGTTTTTGTTTTCTCTGAAGCGAAGAAACGGTGAGGGAGCAACCGCATTCACCTCACGTTTCAAGACATCCCTCAACCGGCTGGAGACACTGATTTCACAAGAACGACAGTTGTCCCGAAAGCGGCCGAAGACCGATCGTCAAGCTGAAGAGAACAAAGAAGAGTCAAGCAGTCTGGAAGAATCGGATGAACAACATGCTGACCGTCCGGACGACCCTCATGAACAGACAGACGAAACCGAACAAGAAGCTGGAGATGAGCCTCGGCCTGACCCGAAGGCCAAAGCTGCTCCTCCACCAGGTCCTTTTGATCCTCCACTCGATCCACATCGCCGTTCGGGATCCACACCATCGGTTCGAAGTGCGAAGTCGAGTTCAAAGGCTTCCCAACAGAAGTCCACTGGGACACTGAAAGGAGATCAGCGAAAGGATCATCTTCGAATGCAACGTCTTCTTGGAACGTTGGAGTTGTCACACACAAAGCCCAAGCCGATATTTCCACAGTCAGTTTTGGGACATTTGTTTATGAGGAAGTTTGGGTTGTCGCGTGAGCAACGTAGTCACATCATTCGTTCCACAGGCGGCTCCAGTCGATTCGTTGACATTGAGAAGATTTTGCGTGCCAGTGACTATGAGGAGAAGATGGACGATCGGCGGTCACGCCATGATGATCGTCGACAAGTCAGGCCTCGTCGAGAAACATTCGCTGTTGAACAGGCTGTTGAAGAATCTTCCACCTCGGTCGATCCACTTTCTGATTCTGGGTCAGGCGAAGAAGCCTACCAAGTTGAAGGTGCTGAAGGTTCTCTTGGTACAGGTTCGGAGGAAGAGCTGCAGGAGATCTTCGAAATCCAAAAGAAAGCAAAGAAAGAGTTCAAGAAGCAGTTCCGCACCTACAAGGAATCCAAAAAGAAAGTGAGAGAGATCAAACGTGCACGCCAACCATACATGCCGGTGGTGGCCATTCCACCCACCGAAGGAGGACCTTCCCAAATGCCAACGGGAAGCCAATCCTCTTCGTCAAAGACACCACGCTATGAGAAAAGATCCTTTGACAAAAAACCACAAAAGGATCAAAAGAAGAAACCACCGAGGCGTGAGGACGCCAATCTGACGGAAACAGTCGAGTTGGTTGACAGGACATTGACCGAGTTCAGCTATGCCCTGACCGATGCAACTCCAGTCGAGCTTGAAATCCTTTTGGCTTCGATCCCGTCGGGTTTTGCAATCATTGACACTGGTTGTACTACATCAGTTGTTGGTGAAGAAACAGCACAACGTTATGAGCAGGTATTTCGACAGTGCAATTTTCCACCACCCGTTCGTGTTACAATGCCTACAGTTGAGCTTCGTGGCTTTAATGGTCAAAGTGAAACTACAGCTGTTGGGTTGAAGTGGACAGTGCAGTTGGGATCATTGAGAGGGAACATCACAACATACGTTGTTCCTGGCAGTGCTCCATTCCTGCTGTCGCGAAGAGTGTTGGAAGGCATGCAAGCCACCTTGGATTTGGGTCGTATGACCATCACGAGTTCCAAGCATGGCATGCAAGATGTGCCTCTCAAGCAGGCCGCCAACGGCCATTTGCGGCTGTCCCTGGTGCCACAGGTCGCCGAATGGGAGACCGTCCTCAACGACTCGAATGAATATGAGCCCAATCCGCATGAAGCCCAAGCGATGGACCGCGAGTCCATTTCCGCAGATCTCGAGCACCAACAAGACCTCAGAGGACAGGACATGACCAAAAGTAATGTTTCTAGTGTGCCAAAAATGAAACCCACACCGTGTGATTTTAGGAGGGCGTTCCAAACAGTTTGCAAACATACCAAAGGAGGAAACGTAGATTGCACTTTGTTTCATGCCGAGTTGTCCCAGTTGTTCTTATGTGATGAAAAACAGGTGGTGCATGCCTTTGTAGCATACAAACCTAGATTAGAAAGGATCCCTACTATTGCCGAACACACCTCACTCGAGATGAATGTAATCTCAATGGATAAAAGTGGAAATATGACCACGTCCGGGTGGGCAGTTCGTGCAGCCGGAAAGGCCCGTCGGCCTGTGAATCCGATGCAGGTAGCGATCTTTGCTTTTCGTTCCATCCGAGCGAATTCTGATCCTGAGAGTTCCCAGAGTGAGTCAGAGCACGTCGAACTCCTTGAGCCAGCAGCACCAACACGCCAGTGTGATTGTTGTTGTAGTGATGATATAGATGGTGATTGGAAGTACCCTGAACAATCAGACACCCTGGAAACCCTATATGAAGAAGTAGATTGGGTAGATCTTGAATTGCAGGATGTCCCCAAAGAACTCCAGGAAAGACTGAAAGGTACCATCACTTCAGCTCGCAGGCTCGGCGTTCGAATGGCCCTGTCACGATTGCAGACCGATAGTCATGCAGTGATTGCCGAACTTCGCCACTGGTTGGGCAAGCAGGCGTGGAAGTTAGATTCCACCGTAGGACTTGTTGAAGTGTTTACAGGTAAGGCCCGCTTGTCTTCACAGTTCCAGAAACGAACAAATCAAACAGCAATCCAGATCGGGATAGATTTTGGTCACGACCTTGGAAGATTGAAGGATAGACGAAATCTCCTGTTCCTCGTTGCCTTGACGAAACCCGCTCATGTTTGGTTTGCTCCCCCTTGTAAATGTTGGGGTCCGTGGTCGAGGTTTAATATGGCCCTCTCGGAATCTTGAAAACAGGAAATCATGAAAAAGAGACATCAAGCCAAACGACACTTGCAATGTGTTTCGGAAACATGGCATCTTCAAGTCATGCTTGGAGGCCAAGCTCACGCCGAAAATCCATATTCGTCCGATATGTGGCAGGAGTTAGTTCTTGGACCAGCATGGTCGATCCGAATTGACCAGTGCGCACTTGGACTCCGAAGTCCAAAATCCAATGTCCCGGTCCTCAAGCCCACTCGGATAGTGAGCACCCAGGAGTCTTTGATGCAACACTTAGTTCCATACCGATGTGACCATAAACATGGACATGATCATCTCGAAGGAAACTATAAAGGTAGGAACTTGACAGCCTGGGCCGAGACGTATCCTAATAAATTTGCACGTGTCATGGCCGATGGTCTTGCCAAATGTCTCCAGAGTCAATCCGGTCCTGACGCAGTTGAAATCCTAGCTCAGGAAGAAGACCAAGAAGAAGAACAATTAGAAGAAGAACCGGAAGAGAGACTTGAAAGACCATTCGCTGAAGGTGATCGTCAATCACCAAGGCAGAGTTTGAATCCAAGACAGCTGCGAGTGTCCGCATTGGTTCGCAAATTGCATGTAAACACAGGCCATGCATCTGTTGAACAAATGTTGAGACTTGCAAATCGTTGCCAAGCCAATAAGGATATAGTGGACTGCATTCGGAGCTTCCAGTGTCCCATCTGTAACGAACTCAAACCACCTCCGTCATATCGTAAAAAATGCAATTCCCCATGCAGAGAACCCGAATGACATAGTGGGTATTGATTTTGTTCAAGTAGAACTCAAAAGGGAGGGACGTAATGGGAAGATGACCGAAATAAAGTTCAATGTTTTGACATGTGTTGATATGGCCTCAGGGTTCGCTCAACAAATCATCGTTGAACGCGGTCCCAATCAGCTGTCTCGAGCATTTCACAGGGTGTGGTCACGTCCCTATGGCACTCCTAAGATAATATTCATGGACCCTGCCAAGACTAACCTATCCCAAGATTTCCAAGAGTACTTGACACATCATGGCATTCAGTTGTTGCATGCGGCAGCAGAAGCACACTATCAACTAGGTCAGGTCGAAGTTGCCAATCGTATTCTACGGAACATGGCCAATCGTTGTTGGCCTGGCACTGACCGTCCACCGGAGGAAGTCATTGAAATGTGTGCGACTACTCGTAATGAACAACTTCGAAAACATGGTTTCAGTCCAGCACAGTGGTTCTTGGGAAGGGACTCACGCCATGTGGGAATGCTTGCTGATCTGGATGAGCAAAGAAATTTTGCTACCCAGAGCCAGATCCTGTCAGATCCGTCCTTTGCATCCAAGACTCGCCTTCGAGAAGAAGCCGCGAAAGCCTTTCATGAAGAACATGCAAAAGATACTTGGAGAAGAGCTGTAGCCTATCGACATCGCCCCATGCGAGGTCCGTATACTCAGGGTCAACTTGTCTATATGTTCCGTGCCGCAGGAAGGGGTCAGCTCAGCACCAGGCATGGTAAGTGGTTGGGGCCTGCCAAAGTCATTGGAGTAGAGAGTTCTTCCAATAGTCCCACACCACGTCTTGTTTGGACTAGCTATAATGGGTACCTCTATAGATGTCGACCTGAAGGCTTGAGACCCATGGCCGAAGACGAAGCTGAATTTCGTGCTCTCGCGAGGCAACTCGCGTTAGGCCAATTAGCTCCTGAGACGGAAACTGCAGGCAAATCACTGTCGGAGGGCGTAGCTCGCTATCACGACCTCACCAAGGACATCCCAGGACCTGAGGACTTCGAGCTTAAGGAAGATGTAGAAGCTGAACCCCACCCCGAAACCTTGGATGACAAGCCTGATTCAGAGGGCGGACCCCGGAAAATTAGACGTAGATTCTATCGATCCCCTGAATACTGGCAAAAGAGGTCAAGAGGTGAGATTCCCCCTCTCGGCAATCGCCATGAGCATGAGTTGAGCCAGCAGCCATTCGCTTCCGCTGCTCCTGATGAGATCCCGCGAGATCCAAATGAGCCAGCCGATAAGAGGAGAAGGGTTGTTGACATCGATTCATCCCCAAGTTATGCACCGACCGAACCACCAGTTCCTCTCGAAGAAGAGGGATCTCTGTCAGGCACTCAAATGTACCACGAGCTGGATGAGCTCATGCCTGACCCAGGTGTTGTTCCCGGACATCTGGATGCAGAGCCAGAGGTTAATCCGCCTGAATCCAATAATCCCGAAAATACCGATGAAGTAATGCCCGAAGTAGACTCACGACCATCCCACGTCGAAGAATCTGGTATAGATGTTCCCGTTCCAGAAGCCGGTGAAGATGAGCTAGCGGTAACAGCCAGATTAGCGAAGGTAGAACAAGTGTTCGAACTTTCCTTTGATATCCATCCCGAAGACATCACCGAGAATCCTCTGTGTCTGTGGAATCTTTTTGAAGAGTGCTTTCAGGCCGCACCGCCGTCGAAGGCGAAGCAGCGTCGAGTTGAAGTCCAATTTCGCAAACTCAACCCGGAAGATAAGAAACTGTTTCTTAAGGCAATGCAAAAAGAATGGCAAAGTTGGGTTGACAATAAAGTGACTTCACTTTGTAAAGCTAGAGGGATTCCAACTGAAAGAATCATTAGAGCACGGTGGGTCTTAGTGTGGAAAAAGTCATCGGATCCTGACATCACTGTCAAAACCCCCAAGGCCAGACTGGTTTTGGTGGGGTGGCAGGATCCTGATCTCGGAAAGGTCGCAACAGACAGTCCAACCCTTCGTAAGGAGACTAAGCACCTGGTCTTATCCATTTGTGCAGCATCTAAGTGGAAACTTTGGGGAGCCGACATAAAAACAGCGTTTTTGTCAGGTGATGAATCTTGCAGAAACATTTACTTTAGGCCTCCAGCTGAGATCAAAGAGTGGATGAACCTCAGTGCGGACGACCTGTTTCGTCTTGAGAAAGCCGCGTACGGCCTGGCAGAAGCACCACGAGCATGGTTTGCTAGGTTGACCCGAGAGCTCAAGGAAGCAGGACTGGTCCAAAGCCAGTTAGATCCATGCCTGTTCTTGTTGAGAAGTAAGTCCGATAATTCCTTAAAAGGCATTTGTGGTGTTCATGTAGATGACCTATTGGGGGGAGGTTGCAAAGAGATGGATGAAGCTCTAGACCGCCTTCGAAAGAAATTGCCATGTGGAGATTACCGTACTTTCACCATAAGATATACAGGAGTAGAGATTCGACAAAATCCCAACACCATGGAGATTGAAGTAGGACAAGAAAATTACATCGAAAATCTGGAACATGTTGAAACCAAGACCTTGGGAAATGCCTCAACACCCCTCACTGATCCGTCCATCCTTCGAACCTGCGCAGGACAGCTAGCATGGGTGTCGAATTCGACTAGACCCGAACAAGCTTTCTTGGCATCGTATCTTCAAGGAGTACAGGATAAGGGTAGCGTTGAACACGTTCACTTGTACAACAAGGCAATCAGGGAAATGAAACAAAGGAAGATTTGTTTGAGGTTCCCCAGCCATGTCCCAGTAAGTCAGTGGCACATCCTGTGCATCTCTGACGCTGGATGGTGTACAAGAGCTAATGGCGAAAGCCAAGGTGGGTATATACTGTGCCTCACAACCAAACAGATCTTAGAAAATAAAGAAGCACCGGTTTGGTTGATCGATTGGAGCTCCAAGAAACTGAGACGAGTGGTCAGGTCATCTGTAGCAGCCGAGACCATGGCTGGACAGAACGGACTCGATTCGATAGAGTGGATCCAGTCCTTGCTCGCTGAGATCTTGGAAGACACGTCTCCGAAAGCATTCAGAGAACAGGTCCCTGAAAAGACAGCTTGCCTCGTTGTGGATAGCAAGGGTTTCTTCGATGCAGTAACTAAGTCTTGTAGCTCTCCAACCATCAGTGTTGAAAAACGTCTACAAATCGATTACGCAATCGCAAAAGAAAGTATGGCCTTGCAAAATATAGTTGTCTTCTGGACTAGCAACCTCTTCATGTGTGCAGACGTGCTGACCAAATTGAAAGCAGACACCGCACCTTTCTACAAGCTCGTTGACACATGGAAATATACAATCCGTGTAGGAGTAGAGTCAGGACGTAAGGAAAAAGCCAAAGCTAAGATTGCAGGAAATACTAGTGTAGAATGAGCACCAGGCCCATGCATGCATATGTGAAGTGGAACCATGATGCCTTGGGGAAGCTTAAATGAATTCGTTAGATAGGAAGGGATATCTAATCCTTGAAATTCCATAGCAGCCTATTATGTAACATGCCAACTGAGGAGTTGTCGTGTCACCGTTTTTCTCGTGCCGTTTCGGTTAAACCGATGTTTTTGCACAGAGCATTTTTCGTTCCAAGGAACTGAGTGATCTTGAACGTGTCTCCCGTCAGGACCCGCAGTCCGTAGAGACATGGCAAAAGCTCCGAAGACCAATGATGAATCTCATCATCTCCGGTCACCGTTGTCGGAGGAAGAGATCGGGGTATGCACCGGACTACTCCACCGAGCAGCTCGTTTTGGCCAGACGGCCCAAGTTCTGAAGCGAGTGTCAGAGTGGACACAGATCCGACCAGATCTCAAGTCCAGTGTGGTGGCAGCCTCGTATATGGTGGAAGCTGCAGGTGCCGCTATGTCGGATGCCTCCAAGCGTCGCCTTGACTTTGACGAAGCCTCCAATGCCACCAACCCGTGGGAATTCGTCGCCACGAATGAGCCATCCGGATCTACTGCCGGCCCCTTGGCCTTTGAGTTGGAAAAGACCCAAGAAGGGTATGTTGGGGGGAAGAAGGAGTTGTTTCCTGTAGCCACCACAAGTGCCACGGATCCCAAAATTCCACTTCCTGATGGAATTGTTTCGATTGAGCAGTGGGGCAAAACAATTTGCCGCATGGATAAAGTGAAATCGGAAAGTCTGACCTATGATCAGATGGTATACCGAGCTCGCACCAATTCGAAAGCAGGCGAAGACATGCGCCAATACCTCCATTTCATCTTGTCCAAATACCGGACAAAAGGTGAGATTCCAACCAAGGTGACGAAAGCGATTGACCTTGCCATGTTTTTGGAGAAAGTAAAGTGGGTGAAACCTGATTATGAAGGTCTTGAAGAGAAGTATGGATTCACCCGCGAACTGCAGACCTAGAAGGTCGAGACTGCTGGATCAAATGCCGCGCCATGAGGGCGTGTGAAAGTGTGCATCCATGTCGGACATGTCATGTTTGCATAAGGTTGATGGCGGCCCTTTGATCCTTTCCGGCCCAAGGGCCCTTGAGCTTGTTCGTACCGAACGCTAGGCTGCGCCACATGGAAAAGCGCCGTTGATCGCTGTGTTGTCGATTCGTGATCCCCAATTGCTTGAGGATACCCACACATTGGTTGACATTGTGTTCCCATCTCCGCTTACCATTTTACATATATACAGTAATTCTACAGACTATGCTTTGTATAAAACAACAAATGTGTTCATATATTGCTGTTGTTCATTGTTTGTGGTTGATCGTGTTGGACACCAGTCGGAACAAATGTCCTCTGCTTCGTAGGAGGTCCATATTCTATTGTCTCGTTCGTCGAGGTGTCAAATGCAAAAACATCAAATGAATCGGTGTCTTGGACTGAAGAAATAGAACAATCTGCATGTTTCAGTCTCCGTGGATTTTGAGATGTCTGTGGAAGCACACGGGAGGTGCTGAACAGGGACGGGAGGTGGAGATGCAATTGAGCACTGTGAGCGCGGGTGCACTTCTGGATGTAAGTTGGTCTGCCAGCTTGTTTTCGAAAACTTTTGCCTCTGAAGCCAAACTGCCGACTTTCAACATGGGGAAAATGCTGAAGAGTGGCACAACAAAACGAGGTAGATTCCAAAAGGAACACCCCTTGTGAGTGATCTTCAGGTGCATGACATTCCATCATGTTCCATCTGGGTCAGGTTCGTGATGTCTGCATGCCTCTGGTGCCCAAGGCTTCTCCATCCACACTAATCCAACGAACTCAGCGTCAAACTCAATCTTGTCTAAGGTCAAGATCCTGCGGGGCTCCCCACCTGCATATGATGCTGGCTGCAATTGGAGGAGCTGGATGAGTTTGGATGAAGTTCTGCCTTTTTCTGTTCATTTGTTGGTGTGCTGTTTTTGCTTCAGCTCTTTCGATTGCTTTCTTTTGTTTGCTCCTTTCTCCGGCTTTCTTGAGTTTCGTTGTTTTGATTGTCTTTGCTTGTCATTGTTTGTTTGTTTGCTTGCTTGCATGCATGCCTGCTTTCGTGCCTGCTTGCTTGTTCAATGTTGTGTTCCTTAGTTTCCTTTTGTTTGTCTCTCTGCTTACAGGGTCTCCCACTTCATCACAAAGATAGAAAAGGCAAGTGAACTTGATCTTTCTCTCTTGCTGACAAGAGCCCCTGTGCCTTCATAGCCCCTGTGAGGGGATGACCTGAGTGTCTTGAGTTTCCTAAGCTTCCAAACCGTGGACGTTTAGAAAATGGTTTATACTACCGGACAAGAGGACATCCGAAGCGAACATGGTGCTAGTCATTTCGGAGTTTCAGGTAAGATCTTAGCATTATCCAACAGTCCAACAGTAACAAACAAATATGGAGATAACAGTAACCCCTCGTTATCCTTCATAAAGCTTGCTGCTCAAGCCATTTAATCTGAACCAACCTCAAAAAGGCAATGAGTTATATGGCAACATGCCAACCTTTATGCTCATGGGACCTCTCACAGTGCCCCCCCTTTTACAACAGATCTTTCGCTCGCACCGCCTTGGTCCGCATCGTAGCCCTCGTAGAGATCTCCTGCTTTCAGATACCGGTCGTAGGACAGGCTCATCAAGGCCGAGGCTTCCTCCACGCCTCGGGGGGCCGCTTCCGTCCCGGAGCTCACTTGGAAGACATGTCCTCCCCTCTCCACCTCAGTTGGGTCCGTTCTGCTCTTGCGGAATGTCGAGCTTCCCCATAATCCTATTATATCCTATCATATGTTACCTATCAATGTCGGCCGCCCTAACTTCACCCCACCAGTTTCATGGTTTAGACCACACACACACAAAAGAAAAAAACTGTCCATCGTTGCACCTCTCGCGTTTCGCCACTTGGTGTCACCGATGTCTCCGTCAGCCTGGGAGGTTCTTCTCTTCCACGGCCACTTCCAGCTCCCGCAGATGTCGATAGAAAGCTCCTACCTCCGACGGGACCGACAGGAATGGCCCATCGCAGCAGGCTCCCCCCCCAGCGACCCGCATGGGAAGGTGTCCCTGTTGGCGCGGATGGAGCGCGCGGTTAGACTCGAAGAAGAAGAAGAAGAAGCACTTGCGGATACTAGAGATATTGTATGATGGATACACTGTTTACGCAAATGCTTCTGTTTATATAAGCATCACAGCGATTCACACAACTCTACATATAGATACCTAGTACACCTAGTTAAAGAACCAGATGTAAATCAGGCAAACAAATTAAATAAGAAAGAGTTCTACAAGCTGCCAGAGCTGGGAATTTGCTTTCACCACCTGAAGGCTCCAAGTTGTTTCGACGTGTCCATCGACTTTAAGTTCCTTTCAAGGTCTGTGACATGTCGCAACCCTCCTTGTACAGTATGCGAGAATTCTACTTCCAAGCCCCTGATGTTGGAACTTCGAACGTGGGATAGATTCCAGTCCCCAAGAAGAAAAACAATAAACTAATCTGAGGAATGTCGCCTTCCACCCAAGGAAGTACCAAATGTACCAGGCTATGCATATATGGGTGAAAACCAGAAACACCGAAGTCACCGACCATGCGTGTTCCGAAACCAAACAAACCGGCGCGACTGGTGCAACGTGTTAAGATGAAGGGATGAGCCAATTAACGTCTATAGTACTATAGGGATCTGGAATTCTTCACATTGGCAGCGAGTTCCGGCTCATCTGGTGACCCTCGTAACGGAAAGTGCCCGTTCTGGCGGATTTCGGTCTCAGGCGGTCCGGCACCTCGTAGCGCAAGGAGAAGCGCAGGGACTCGTCCACGGCACTTTGGCTTGGAAAGGCCGAATCCGTGTAGCGCGTGAAGACCTGCAGTGAATGCAGTGGGAAAAAGAAGGCGCGTGGGTCCAGGTCCGGGTCGATGGGTCCAGGTCTTGGGAGGTCTTTCAAGATCTTTCCTCCGGAATTCCCCGGCGGCCTGGGGCGGTGTGGCTTTGGGGAGCTCGTTTCCCTCACCAAGAAATGAATTGACACACATCGACATCATCGACACCACCTATCCATCAAGTGGCTGGCAAGTAAGCTTGAAAGAGGTTTGGATAGATCGCCATGTTCTGCCAATCTTCGTCATAAACATCTTGTCGCAAATCTGCCAGATCAGCCGCAACGCCGCGCAGTCGTTTGAGCACCTGGAGCGGGACGAACAAGGAGCATTCTTCAATGGAGCGCAACAAAGAAATCTCCAAGGATTCTCACGTTGAGAGAATGGGGCAACAATCTTCAAGGATTCTTCACCAAGGGGATCCCCATGGAAAACCAACTCCTCGTTGCACCACATGGGATCCCACAGAGAGGAGATCGACGACCTCCCTGGAGCGTCTGTCCACCGAGCGTCAATGTCGCCCTGGGAACTGGTTCGATTCTTTTGTTTGCAAGACAGTGGCAATCTCTCTGGGCTTGGCCAAAACACCCGCAAACACAACGCCACAGCGAGTTGATTCTGCAGAATTGGCACATTTTCTGTTGAGTACAGCACAGACATCCACAGACTATCGTAAAAAAATGCTTGACTGGAGGGTCCACATCGATGACTAGGTCCGTCTGCCATGAAGTTCGAGGCAGAAAGATACAAAGGGGTTATGCGGGTGATATGTATATCACGGGCCTTTATGCTTTTCACTCTCACCAGGGCTATAGGCTGACTAACACGTGATTAAACACCGTATACATCCGTATACCGTATATAGACTAAAACATGCCAAAACACTCTTTGGGGCGTCTGTTTCATTGCCCGCACACACACACATACTGTGGGCAGCCCTGGCATATGTTGATAGCTAGAAACAGGCTGCAGGAGCGGGATCGTTTGTGGGGTTCGTAAAGGAACTGCATCTTTGTCCACATGCATGTGTACGTATATCATTTAAAGTCCTGATCTTGGTGTCCACATCCAACAACGCTTGGCTGCTGCGTGTCCATCTCTTTGTCTAATGTTTTTGAGGTGAGCGAGGCAATCACGTCATTCCAACCTCAACTGTCTAAAAGCCAAACCTTTAGCGAACCATCAGATTCCATGACTTGTCTGCGTGCTTGCACGCGTCCATACTATAGGTATACATATAACTATATGATTCATGATATTGACGCCAAGGTCGCAACAGTCGCTACACCACACGGCTTCAGAGTCTCATCAGACTGACCACGTCTTTCTTCTCTGTCAGCGACGCCCGTAGCCACTGCCTTGAATCCGCCTTGTTGCCCTTGGCAGAGACACTTTGGTCCCGTTAAAGGCATTCGATGCAAGTGAAGGCATGGACTCTGGAACGGTCACATTTGCCAATGACAAACAGTTCACGAAGGCCTGATGTTCAATCGAAATCACCGAGTGGGGTATAGTCAAGCTTTCCAGTGAACTGCAGTTCTTGAAGGCCTCTACTCCAATATGAGTCAGCGACTCGGGGAGGGACACGTTTGTCAGTGAGGTACAGTTCATGAAGGCATCATCTCTTATGGAAGTGACAGAGTGCAAGATCGTCAAACTCGTCAATGCGCTGCAATTGCTGAAGCATCCTACTCTCACAGAGGTCACAGAGCCGGGGATGGTCAAACTCTTCAATGAAGTACAATGACTGAAAGCATGCGGTTCTATAGAAGTCACAGATTCAGGGATAGTTATGCTTGTCAACGAACTGCAATTTGCAAAGGCCCAGTGCCCAATGCACTTCACGGAGTCAGGGATCGTCAAGCTGGTCAACGCCTCACAGTTGCTGAATGCATGCACTCCAATGTCAATCACAGAACTGGGGATTGTCAAGCTTGCCAATCGCTTCAAGTCACTGAAAGCATTATTTGCTATGGCCGTGACAGAGGTGGTGATTCTCAGGGTTGTTATTGCGCAGCAGTTGCAGAAAGCGCTCTCTCCAATAAAAGTGACAGAGTCGGGGATAGTCAAGCTGTCCAGTGAACTGCAGTTCTTGAAAGCCTCTGCTCCAATATGAGTCAGGGAGTCAGGGAGGGACACGTTTGTCAGAGATATACAATCCCTGAAGGCACCATCTCCAATGGAAGTCACAGATTGCAGGATCGTCAC